TTAATAGTCTCTGCAGTCGATCCTATCTATTCCTTTGGTCTTTTGTTTTAATCGAACTGCAACCCCCCATCTTTCCACGAGCTATACCGTCACCACCGTCATATGCTGATACGACCCAGACCCCCCCCCTCCACCCCATCTTCTTCCGCACGATCGCCCCGCCCACCGCTGTCAGCGGCGCGCTAACCCAGCTCTTCGCCCCCTCGACCATCCTCCGCCTCTACAACGCCTCGTCGGCGACAATCCCGCCGGCGCCGGAAACCACGGTCCTCCTCGACAGCGGCGCGGGATACCTCCTCTCAACACTGTTCCTGCAGGTCGTGATGCTGCGCGCGCGACCGGCCGACGTCCCCGTCTGGCGCTGTCTGCAGGGCGCGATTCTGGTCCAGGACGTCGCGATTATCGGTGCCGTGGCGAGGTCGCTCGATGTGCAGCGTCGGCTGGAGTGGGGTCTGGTGACGGGGCAGGAGTGGGCGAATCTGGCGATCCTCGCTGGCGTGGGGGCCCTGAGGGTCGCGTTTTTGCTGGGTGTCGGTGTGGGTGTGGATGAGCTGAATGGGGACAAGAAGGGGAGAGGGAAGGGGAAGGGGAAGAGTGCTTGAGGTGCGTGAGTATGCCGACTCGGGGAGAAGGAAGGAGGGAGAAAGGGGAAAGGAGAGTCACTCAGCAAAATGAAAGAAAGGATCTCGTTTTCCTGAGCAAGAGTGGGAATCAACGACAAGCCATCATTGTTCAATTACCCCCAGAGAACATCCGTTTCCTTCGCATGTAAACCTCATTACTCCCATGATCCATAATACCCGTTGCTGCATCCCAGTGGCATACGTCCATCCCACTAAACCTTCCCTTGTCCCTAAAACCCATACATACCTCAAAAGCAACCCTGAGAAAGATTCCCTTACACTTATCCCATTCAGACTCCGATCAATACTCCCTCCCTCCCCAATGCCCAAAGCCTAAATGATGTCCTTGACCAATTTATACCCTTGTCCCAAAGTCCCCACCGTGCCCATCTGCGCCGCAGCCGCGTCGGCGACCTGGTCGGCCGCGAAGCTTGCTGCCTCCTGGAGACCCAGGCCTTGGGCTGCCTTCTGCGCCACCGTGACCCAGAGCCAGCCGCCCTTGTCGGTCTGCAACAGGCCAATCTTCTTGGTGTCGTCGCTCTTCTCGCCGCCGTCCTGGTGTTCCTCGAACAGGTCGCTGACGTTCTTGACCGCCCGCTCGTGGTTGGCGTGGGGTTCGAAGAAGCCCGCCGCGAGGCCGTCGACCGTCAGCCGCTCCTTGACTTCCTGCGCCTGCGACGGCTGCGTCAGGAAGACCGCCAGGACAGCGAGACCCAGCGCGAACAGCGCGTAGACGGCTTTCAGCGTCACAAGGAGATACAGAGGCAGATATGGGACGCGCGTTGCGAGGTAATTGTTGTCTCGCGTCCACTCGAGCTCATTCTGTACCCTGACGGCGATTCCCGAACTGAGGGCTACGGCGGCCTGGGAGAAACGGTCGGCAAAGATCCTTGACAGACCCTCCGGTGTCTTCTGATACGCTGCCAACGCGGCGGCGTCCTGGAGGGCCAGATGGGACAGTGGACTGTTGATGGCGAACGGTGCGCTGAAGACGGCACCGTAGTAGTCTGCTACATCCTCGTCTGCCTGGAGCTCAACAAGACCTATTGATCCATTGGTCCAGTTGTATCTCACTTCGGCGATGACTGCTGAGCAGCTCAGGACGAAGACGGTATCACCAGTTGCATCGTATTTGAGGTAGTGGTCGTTTCGCATATCTTTGAATTCGTCTTGGTACGTGTCCACTGGCGGGAAGCCCTTTGACCAGGTCAAAAACTGCAGTGGGTTCTGCGTGGTGAAGAGGTTGGTGGTGCTGCTTCCGAAACCCACGGCTTGAGTCTTTGCCGTGTCGTTGAAGAATTGAATGCCGACCATCGCCTCGTCTGGCGCTGACGTCGCATCCTTCGGGTCCATGCCAACCTCTCCGGAGTATGAAAAGGATGGCGCGCTGTAAGTTCCGCAGGTGAAGCCGGAGCTGCGATCGTCAACGGATGTGACATTACAGTCTTGTGTCACCATCTGGCACTGCGTCTTGATCGCCAGCGTTGTTGCCGCAAAGTCAAGCGTCCTGCTGCTCTGAATATCCCCAAGGAAGTAGTAGTTTGAGCCATTGACTGTGACATTGAAGATTGTGTTATTCTCAGAGTTCGACATCAGCGTCTCTGCTGCTTGTTGAGCATTGAGTACCCCTTGACGCTCTCCGTTGGACGCGGTCCAGTTTGTGATGCTGCAGGGGTAGCTGCAACTCGCTTCAGCATTGCCGGGACAAGTCCGTATCTGCCACTCGCCTGGTCCGCACTGGCTTGAGTTTAGACCTCTTCCAAAAGAGAATGCTGTGCCGTTCTGGGGAATCACCAATGCGATGTTCATAGCCGTGGTGACTGTACCGAACCAGCTGTCGACTGCACCGATGGCGAAGCTGTGTGGCAGAGTTAGTACCATCCATGGGAGAACGACATAGGACGAGCGACTTACGTCATGAACACAATGAACGACAAACACCAAAAGGCCAGAGGAACTGGTGGAACAAGGGTCTCATGATTCTGCCAGCGATACTTGACAGCATCCAGCAGAGGTTGGGTTCCACCTCCATTGAGCAGTCCGATCAGGATGGATACCTGGTGAGGACTCGGCAGCTTCTCGGATTTGTTAGCAGTCGCTTTCATAATGCGTTGTCCTGCGAAGAAGGCAACAAGAGCCATGGAAGCACCGGTGACGAAAGGTATGATCTTGGCTGTCCATGAAGAGATCATGTGCAACACAGCTGGGTTGGTGATGGTCTTGTAGTATAGGTAGTAGGCATGATCGCCTCCATTCTTTTCGATTCGCTGGATACTGTCCAGAGTATCCAGCCCTTCGGTCGCGGCTGTCTCTTGCTTTTCAGGAAGAAAGACATAACTGCTGTCGATTCGGTTGTACAGGATGGCAGTTAAAAGAACACTGGAGATGATGGCCACTGGGACGCAAGGCGCAAATGCGCCCCATAGCAGAGAGGGCAAAGCACCCTCCATGTTGTCTTTGATCACATGATGGGTGGTGGGAGTTGGAGGAGGGCTATCAGAGCTGGTCTGTGTGGCGGGTGTCCCAAGACCCTTTTCAGATAGAAGAGGGATCTTTGTAGGGGACTGAGGCTGCTGTGGCATCGCTGCCATTATGCTGCGCAATCAATATAGCAAACTTGAATACAGACCTACTGAAGCCAGACGATGGACCACGAAAACTCGGAAGACAGCGCAAAGCAGGAGCCAGGCTGCGAGTATTTGAGTCATTCATACTCGACCATTTTGGAGAGGTCATACACCCATTTCGCCGAAGGCAACTGGGCAATGTCGATTGCGCAGAAACCGCACGAAGAACAGTCCATGAAGGGAGCGTGCAGCCGACGAAAGCAGCCGAGAGACGAAAAAGCAGGGACTGGACAACTCGTGAAGGTGGGTGAAGCTATCCAGGCATTGGCGACGTGTTTATCAGTCAGTAGGCTGGCCATGGACGACATCCTCAAAGGTGTTTGTGGCTGGCTTAAAGCTGCATTTCAGCTTCGGAAATGGCCCAGTCCAGGCCGAAAGTAGAGCAGCACCCAACGTTAGCGAGTAGATGTGTGGGAGGAGAAAGCATCCGCCTTCCCCAGGCTGAAGAAAAAGCCGTTAGGCTGGCCAGTCATGTCATGTCGAGTGGTTCGTGCTCCATCGCGCAACCATTTCCCTTCACAATGCTGTCTCCAGGACCGGGCAGCACACCATCATGGGATGTTCTGGACTCGGCCTCGTAACTTGAGCTTTGGCATGGACGCAGGGCAAACAGACGCAGTAGGTCGACCTTCGAGGGGAGTCTGACTTACTGTGCCACCTGCTGAAAGGCGCAAAGCCGGTTTGGGCTCATGCTAGTGTACCTTTGGGCGTCGACATTCGTGAAAGTGGAGGACGTCGAGGAAGAATCAAGTCAGTTGGGATGTGGTGGAAAAGTGGCTAGATTAGACTATCCGGGGTCACAAGCTTTAATTCTCTTGAGCAGTGCTTGACAAGTGCTTAACAGTTTCTCAAAAGGTGCTTAGTGGCCCCCAAGTTGCCTTATCTAGTAAGGCAGCATTTTGCAAGACCTTCCGTATTGATCAATCCGCCTAATTCACCACTTGGGCAGTCACTCACCACATTACCAATGTACATACCTAGGGGGTGATTGCGCACCACTGACCCTGGTGACCTGTCTTCACTCACTCGTGATGAACAAGACGCTCTTTTTGAGGCTATGCGCTTTTCATGTAAACGAACACTCAAACTGTCGCTCTTCAATATGCTTGCTGGCCGTCTCATGCAGCTGTCGAAATAGACTAATTGCTTCCCACTTGATCGCCCCATTCCCGCAGTTAGTTTGATTCTTGTTCCCCGTCCCGCCAAAATACCGGTTGGCGTGGGTATCTTGAGCCAAATCTGCCCGGGGCAGGTAGCTGGCCATAACTTCGATGCCTCAGACAGGCTTGTAGGTTCCTGGCAAATGTCACGTAGGATATGCGAGGTGGGATGTCTCTTGCACAGTAGAAGTACAGGACACAGGGAAAGATGTGGGTGGTCAGGATGATGTCGTCGAGTCGGAGTGTATCTTCAAGGTAGTAGCGACGAATGCCCAGTGAGACTTTGCTCATTGCTAGACTCCTCAAACAGACCAGAGGCGGCTTGGGACAGGAGAAAAGCAAGCAGACTCGTGGAGTGTATGTGAACAACAGCCTCACCCTCAACATCGCCTACGATTCAGACCTCTCGAGGATGTGAGGCTGAAAAAGCAAAGTTGGTCAGTGGTCTCTTGAGCAGTGTCACCAAGAACACGAGACTCAATGGGGATACAACTCTCCAGCTCTGTCAATGAAGACGATTAAACGTGGATCCTGGTGGCGTGGGAGACGGACGCAGGACCCGTCTCGGTCTCTATTTTTGCATAGCGAGTGCAGAAGTATACCAAGTACCAAGTAAATAGTCGGTGAGCAACAGAGAGTCGAAGTATTCGGTACTCTTGGGTTGTGGTTGGGGTGCTGGTGTCGCTGACCGACCTTGCAGACTGACCGCCTGGGCCTCGGGCCAATTTCCCCAAACCCAAAAGCGCTGCGTCTCGAGCCTCTCTCTCTCTCTCACCTCCAAAATCAATAAATACAAGTCGGTCGTAGATTGCCGGCACTTTCCCTCACTTTTCGATACTCGACCTCCGAACAAGCGCTGGCGCGTGAGAAAAAAAGCGTGCTGTCGCGCTCACTCCGGAATGTATCTCATTGTGAATTGAGGCTTGCTCTGCGTTTTTCTGGATTGGTGTGTCTGTGTATATCCGTGTGGGCAATTTCACTCTCCTGAAGTGATTAAAAAAAAAGGGCCAAACATCACTGTAGGATATTATGGTGAGTTTGGCGAAAGAAACCACTCGTACAGACAGACTGCCCTTTCGATAATACATCTTCCTGCACTGGACGACCGGCCTGCGATACCCTCCCTCCCTGGCTGCGCTGACCCTCCGTCAAATATAGTCCCTCCCCAGCCCGCCCTCGACGCGAGGCGCAGGAAGCCCGCCTCTCTCCTCGCACTCGTATCACGCCTCCTCCACCGCCACCACCACCATCGCAGCGTCAAACGGACCCTCCGGTAGTGGCGGCGGCGCAGCAGACAACCTGCACAGTCCCAACGAGGCGGCGACGAAGCTCGCCGAGGCGATCGACGACTTCCTGGGCGACCTGGAGAAGAAGTTCAAGGGCATCAGCGACGAGATCCTCACAAAGCTGGACGACATGGCCGAACGGTGTGACCGGCTCGAGCAGGAGATGCTGTTGAGGGACGCGAGCGCCATGGAGAACGTGAGCGGTGGGAAGGCAGGGAGTACGGCCGGGTCGAGCTGATGTTGGTTGAAAGCGACGTTTGTCGGCAAGCAACATACATACATAAGGACTATCACGACAAGCGGATAGAGCCAGAAGGGGATTTCTATGCGTGCGTGATAAGAGTGCCACGGCCGAACCGGAGCCTCGAGATTGACATGGGGCAACAGAGATATCTCGCATGTCTTAAGGCGCCGATCACGAACAAAGTGGCTCAGGATTTGAAGATAAGCCAAATCGGGTTTCTCGATGAATTACACGAATCCAACGTTGGTTGGAAAGAGGTCAACAAGTGGCACGACGAAAAATACACGTGGATAAAAGCTGGAAACCCATCAAAGCCTTGTTTGAACTCCTAATGGTGGTCAGTTTACACATCCATTTTGCCTGCAGACCCTTGTGCTTTTTGCTCAATCTGCCCGTGATATCGCGAGTGTTCCCATGCAATCGTTCCTCGTTACTTACAACTCGCTCTTCGGCTCTGGCTCTTTGACCAAGAACTTCGAGAGAATGTTGCTCCTCTTCTGCAGGTCGTCGATCTTCTCCGGGGCCAAGCCGCCCTTCTTCAACAGACCTGCCAGTCTCGTCTGTTCCTTCATCGCGTACTCTGGGTTTCCTGTCAGTTTGGACAGGGCCCGCAGATAGTAGTCGACCGATGTGTCCTTCAGGTCCTTTGCAGCCTTCTTGATCTCGGCCGTCGCCTGCTCAATGTCCTTCAGGCCGTTGGCCGTGATGTATTTGGCTAGCAGGCTATCGATGATTTCGATGGTCCCAGCCTGGGAGTTCAACCCACCACCAGGAACCCTATAGGTGCCGGCTTTGGAGTTGACAAAGTCCACCAGGGCCTCCTCGCTGCGAGCGCCGCTGTAGGGTTCTGCTTCGGTGGAGCCCTTGGGGAAGAATTTAATAGTCGGGTAGCCTGTGATGCCTTGGGATTGAGCCGTGGCCTTCGAGTTCTCGGCTTCGGCGTCAACCTTGGCAATCAGGACGTTGGGCTCATTGGCGAAATCGGTGGCGAGTTTCTCCCAGGTTGGAGCAAGGGATTTGCAGTCTGGAAGTAAAAGATTAGCATGCACCGTCCTACCGCGGGGAGTCTCAAGGGACAAACATACGTCCGCACCAAGGCGCCGTAAAAGCGACCAAGATGTCCTTATCCCCTCCGACTTCCGACTTGAACGTCGTGTCTGTCAACATCTCAACATGACTTGGTGCCTTCTTCGGTCCCTTGCCCTTGACACCGGACTTCTCGGTCACAAAGGCCGTCAAACTCTCGAGATCTCTGCCGCCATTGTAGTCCTCGGGCTCGGAGCCGGGCTTCCCATCGAACCATTTCAACGTTGGGAACCCCTGGACACCGAATCTCTTGCCTAGGTCTTTGTGCTTGTCGGCATCAACATTTGCAATCGTCACCTTGTTACCAGACGCTGCGAAGGCCGTGGCCAGCTCCTCATAGACAGGAGCGAGATTCTTGCAGTGGCCGCACCACGGGGCGAAGAACTCGACGAGAGCAGGCTTCCCGGACTCGAATACGACTTTGTCAAAGTTTGAAGGAATCAGATTGATCACATCCGAGGCCGCCGTGAGGAGGGGCAGGGCAAGCGTTGCCAGCGGGAGGAGGGAGCGGAGTTGCACCATTGTGGCGCTGTATCGAGTGGAGGGGTGTGGTACAAGGAACTCGAGTGGACGCGGAACGAGGACAGGTCTTCACAGAGCTAGATTGCGAGATGGGAAGAGGTCGACAGAGGAAGATGGAGGAATTGTGTGTGAATGCTTGGGCTTGTTGGCCAGGATATATACGATCGACGCCACTTTATTTCAATTGCTTAAAAATCCGCGTCTGGCATCCCTGCCCCCTGCGCCTGCGCCCCCTTTTCGAGGCTGAAAAGCCACTTGTCCTTGTAACTCAGCCTTGTCCCGGGAAGGTCCAATCATCATTTCTCCTTGCGACCCCAGCATAAATGTATGGATACATACTCCGGTCGAGCGTGTGATTACCCAGGCTTCACTCGAGTACAGCGAAATGGGTGACAACAGCTTGTGACAATGTTCAACGGCCAGGACTCGTTGGAGAGTTCAGCGTCTCTCTTGGTACAGACATTAGTTTAAGGCGGGTATGTACTCATACATAGATTGTACTCTCTCGTAAAAATGCCCGACGAGAAATTCAATGAGAATCAGAGACACTTGTCCTCTCACAGCATCCCAACGCCGTCCCTCGCCTTCGCTTGTTGCTTGCCGTTCAAACATCAACAACTATGCAAAACAATTGATTGATGGTCATGATTGCCGTTCGCCCGTTGGACTGGATCCTTCTGTTCCTCATCATCCAGCTCCGTATAACTGGTGATATGCGCTATGAGCGTCAACGAGCACTGCGGGAAAGAGTCAGTCGTGACCTTACCAAATGGCGCAGAGCACTAGGGACTTACTTTGTAATACTTGTTGCTGAGCCTGTTTACTCTCGCATGCACACTGCACGCATCTCCCATCCTTCAGATCGAGCAGGATACTCCACGCCATCTCTTCGCGTTCAAGGTCAGGTAGACATGGCCGGTTGAAGTCGCTGAGGTGGTATTTACGACTAACACTCTTCGTGTTGGCGTCATTCATCGGTGGAGAAAATATCAGGAATCCTTGGTCATCGATCCTCATGAAACGCCGTTTCCATAGGAATGACTCTGGGAATTGTACGTTGACGTCCCCAATGTCGACAACATGCATCAATGACTCAGCTATCGAATCCTCCGGCGTGAAGTCAGGTTGTTCTCGCCCAAGATTTACTTGGGACTGAGTGGCCTCTTCTTTTGTCGTCGGTTGATTCCTGCTGCGCGCATTTGCTAGATTCGACATCCGCTTCATGAGCCTGCTTGTCATTGAAGACTTTGGTTTGTCCTCGGAAATTGATGCTGCGTCACTGGTTGACCGCGGACCTTGCCGTCTGTAGTGACTTGATTTGGACATTTTGCTGGTATTCGACTCAGACCGAGGCAAGTTTGGATGAGAATTTGACCGATGGGAGGAAAAGGAAAATCGCCCTCTCTCCGACTTGGTGGGGCTTTTGACCCTGGGTTGATTCGAAGCCAGTGCCTGATCCAAGGTTGGCTGGTCGGACTTCTCGTGTTCGACGATTAGAGGACTCCGGTAGAGATTGAGGGGAGTATTGTAACTCGAACTTGGAGCCAAGGGGGGATGCTTATTGGTAGAATCACGAACAATCCTTGCGGTAACAGAAATCGTCTCGCCTTTCTGTAGCCTGTGCACATCTGACGATGGACGTCGTGGCTCTTTCACCGCGGCCGATGGATGTGATTCATATTGACTGCTTGCTGTGGGTAGATGCCGAGGAGGTGAATTTTCGGTCGAGGCGTTTGGAGGCTGTTGCTGTGTCAAGAATGATGAGCGCTTCATGAACGCCGAGAAGGCAGAGGTGCCGGCATGCGTCTCTCGGACTGGCTGAGGGTGTCGTGGGGGACTTGCGTCCTTCGTCCTCAGCACTTCCAGGGCCTTGATGCGTTTAGAGATACCTGTTCCGAGGGTAGCTTTTTTGGTAAGTGGTAGTTGAGCTGACTCTGTAGGCAAAGGTGGCCACTGTGGAAGAGCAGTCGAAATGCTTCGTACGCTGCCACTGCTGGGTCTGTTTCCATCGGGTGTTGTTACAAGATTTGGCCGCCCTGTGGAATGACTGGAGTTCGGCGGTTTGACAACCATCTCACGTAGGCGATCTGAACTTCCCTTGGACATTATTGGGGTCACTGGCGACCGAGCCACTGAGACTGGCATAGCTTCATGGACGGTAGCATGCTGGATCTCGTCTATCAACGAATCATCTTCCGAGAGATCTGATGCAGACGCATTGCCACCTGGCAAGAGTTTTAGGGCCTGTGGAGGTCCTAAGCGACCAGATTTCTTGGGTGAATCCTCATCCTGTTTTAACGGTGGATTAGAAGGCCGGGGCTCAGTGTCCGAGTTTGGTTCAGGTCTGCTCTCTGGGACGAGGCCGTCAATTCTAATAACTGATTTGGCTTCCACGTCAGCAGGTGCCGCATCAACCTCAGTCTTGGAATCATCCTTGTCGTCCTTATCGAAAGGGACCATGCCCAAACTAGCTGATGGCTTTATATCGATCGAAGCCACATCAGACGCACTTGGGGCTTTGTCTTCCTGCGAGAAAGCTTTTGGAGTGAGAGAGGAGCTTGTGGCCGATGATAAAGAGCGGCGAGTACGGGAACAATCATCGTGTTCGCTGACGGAAGAGGCTTGGGTCGAAGGCTCTTCCGAAATATTTGTCATGATGGTCGGCGATGTTGTATAAGATGATTGAGTCAACTTCGTCTCCTCATCGACGTTTGACAGCTGTTCGTGACTTGGAATTGATGATAGACGAGTACTCGATCCATTGGCGCTCGCATTCGACTCCGACGCATTGTGAAGGTATGTATTTGAAAGGGCGGGTGTTGCAACCGTGGCTGCTCTTTGGGCAAGCAGCATGTTCCTCTTCCGCAATTGTAAAGCCTTCATCAATCTTAGCTTTTCTGGAGTGGTGGTCGACACATCGCTAGTCACAGAAGATGGCCGGAGGATCGCAGAGCGACTATCCCCCGCATTATATGGTGCGTGTAGGTACGACGGCGACGGCAGAGGTGGCGCACCATTTACAGACTGACTGGAAGGAACAAAACGGCCGGGTACGCTTCGACTCGACTGTTGAGAGCCTGGGCGAATCCCCAGGCTGACGAGAGATTTGTTGTTCACACGGATAGAAGTTGGAAGATTCGCCACTGGCCGTATTCCTGTGCCGCTGTCTGTTGTTCCGGACGTCTTAGGTCGGTGAGTTGTCTCCACGTGAGGACGCGGCCCCAATTTTTTCTTCTTTGGCTTGACCGCTGTATACGATGCGACGTTACTACTCCATTGGCTGATGCTGTCTGATTCGGCGGCCGAAAGGTGACGGGCGTGAGGACGAGGAGTTGTTGGGTTGGAGGCGTCTGCTGTTGCTGTAGTGGTCTCGAGGAGGATGTTGCTGGTTGCTTCGAAGTCTGGAGCTCTAGGACCTTCGCCCTCGCTCGTGGAAGGAGGAGTCGGTTCGGGCGTCGCGGGGAGCTCCTTGTCGACGATGGAGGGAGGTAGTGGTGAGGGTAGTGGTGAGGCCGGCGGTTTGGGGGATGCGAGCAGACTTTCTTTCCGCGGAGGGTGAATGTTCTTGTCTGGTACAGAGGGAGGACCAGCATCATTGTTGTTGTTGTTGTTGGCGGTGGCGGCAGCAGCCTCCTCCTTCCTCTTTGCCAGAAGAGCTTTTGCAAGAACTGCGCTTGCCGGAAGTTCATCTAGTTCATGTCTCCCGAAAACTGTGTCCGGCGTCGATGTCACCATCGGCAACTCATCTGGCTTTTGCGATGTGAAGCGAAGGGCAAGTCCAACGTTCTCCTCCTTCTCCTCCTCAACTGTTGACACATCGTCTTCCGCATCTTCGGTAATTTCGTTGAGTCGGCGCCGTCGAAGAGAGGAGCTTGACGAGGTTAATGAAGATGCAGAGGGTAATAGCATAGTACAAAGTCCTAGGGCGGACTCTGTTAACTCAGAGGCCGTGGCAAAGGAGAAGACGGTGTCATGGGGTGTGAAGGTTTCCAGGACCGATTGAAATTGCACGGTGAGCCGCACTGTAGCGAGTGAAGCAAGTCAGTCATTCAGAATCTCTCCCAGGGCCACGATGTTCACCCACCTTGCAGCAATCGAGATGTTCCTTCTGGCACATATTTGAGGACCACTTTCTTGCGCCGATACTGCACCAACCCGTACAGCGGCGACTTCTCTGCATATTGCTCAATCACTCCACGCACAGCCTGCACACCCCCTGTTCCCTTGCTCAACAGTTCAACGGTGTCGCGATTGACATATTTCAGTAAGAACCTGGTCCATGTAAGCAGGCGTCACGGCAGACGGATTGCGCACAAGCACGAGGCAGCACAGCGGCGGTGAAGTGCGCGACATACCATCCTCCTGCGTCCGCCTGAGCAGCCTGGTGTGCGTCAGCGACTGCAGCTCCATCAAGTCCATTCAATGACATTTCTCAGCCCTCATTGAGAAGGCCCACGCCTGCGCAACGGTTCGGAATCGGTTCTCATACAGTCCAGGATTTGGGCGCGAGGCTTTACAAAGACCAAAATAACGCAGGATAACAAGGCTTGAGGCGATCAGGGCAGCCCTTCGAAATCAATAATGGGCCCGACGCCAACGGCGAGCAACTACCAGGACAGCCCTCCCTCAGCTTAGAGATGCAGCTTCGAGGGGAAGCCCACATGCAGGATGCAGGACATTCTACGAATGGGGCACAGCGCACCATGCTATCCGCAGTTCAGGGGTGTTGCTGCACCGGACCAAGCGACCAGGGTAGCCCACCCACCGACAGTCCGTGGCCGATGTGCCCTGGCACCAGCTGGTGTGCCCCGTTTCTGCGTGATGGTGGAGCGGACTTTAACGCTGAAACTCACGACCAAACGGCCGATGCTAGAGCCTTATTCGCCCATGTCGACAGTTTCCACGAGCCAATTTCCCGAACCCTGCCCTGACCTGCGGCTGGAAGCAACCGAGACCGACGCTATACCTTTTTTCACATGTTTGAATTTCCTCCCTCCTACGTAAAACAAGCGAAAGTCTGTCAGAAGATTCAAACCCTGGAGGGTGGGTGGATAATCCTGAATTGCGAATTGTCGTCGATCCTGTCTGCTTCAAATCTCAACTGCCACGGGTATAGAGCCGATCTTGACTCCGGAGCAGAAGACGAGAATGATGGCTTACACAGTCTATGCAAAACAGCATGCGGATGTGTCTCAACCAGTACTGTGACTTCTCTGAAACGGCCCCAGGAACTTTTCCCATGTGCCAATATCGAAAGTGCAGAATCGCACTCGAGCCTCACCTGCAAAACTCATACCATGAGCGTGACATTTCCTGGTTTCCTTCATTGTCAACGACAAGACATCGTTCGCATCCTAAAAAAATCTCCCAACAATCCGTGTTCTTCGGACATGTGGTGCTCGATGAATAATGGACACAGAATGGCTCGATGTTGCTGCAAGGAACGTCTGATCCCCCAGAATCGCCGGTCTCAGTCCGCCCCTCTTTCTCTGGGAACTATTGATACACCGTCTATTCGCGTGGCTGCACACCCAAGTAAGCGTATCAGGAGACAATAATGGGAAGAGGCTGGAGCACAAGTGGCACCATGGGCCATCCGTTGTCGATGACTACGGCGCATTATTGCTCCTCGACCGACCAGTTTTGCAATAATCGTGACGATCAAGGCAATCCAGCCTTTTCGCGAATTCGACGCCAATCCACGTGAAGCGGCTTCGAATGTTTCGGCCGACTCCGACCACTTTACAAGCGCCGACAAGGGCACTCTATATGACGTTGGGCTGTTTTGAGTCGCAATGGCCTTTCCACAGAACAGTCCTTTACGACAAATTTCTTTACATTCGAGTTTGGAGGTCCTGGGCTGCGCTTTGACCAAGTGACGAGACATCCCTCATGATGGCATCTCTTCCACCAACATCAACCCTCCCAACACTGGATGCCGAGCAAAGGGCACAAGTTCTCGACACCCTCTTTGAGCCGTGCCAGCAACTGCACACACTATCCGTCAGCCTACTGCGAGAACAGTCATTCCCAACCTATGATTCTCTCATTGATGCCGTAGGCCAGCAGCTGCTGGGACTCTTCCGATCAAATTTGGAGAGCGATCAAAAATGGCTAGAGGCCATTTTAGCCGCCCATCCGCGGTTAGGTGAGAAAAAGGTTGACAGTGAGCAGAGTCGCAAGGAGCAAGCGCAACTGAACCAAGGCGGGACGGAGGAGGCAGAGAAGCTGGCGGCCATGAACCGGAAATACGAAGACAAGTTTCCAGGTCTGCGATATGTGTATGGTTTCCCACTCTCTTGACTCGGCAGTCTCATGTCCTTCGACACCGCTGATAAGGACAACAGAGTGTTTGTAAATGGACGAAGTCGCCCTGTCATCATGGAAGACATGCAGCAACGAATAGACAGAGGCGACATCCAGCTGGAAAAGCAAGAGGCAATCAAGGTAGGCAGAACTGCTCTGATTGACCCGTTGCAGCCTCGGTCAAGTCATCCAAGCTAACGCGTTCTTCTGTTCCCACCAAAAGGCCATGTGCGATATCGCGAAGGATCGTGCGAAGAAGCTGGGCGGCTGAAATTGCATGGTGGATCGTTTCCTATGCCCATGTCGCTGGCATGAATGAATCGCATACATTGCACGAATGGGCGGGAACTTCTCGTGTCGTCGACGACAGCTATATCAAACCCGACAATAACACAACAGCACCCTATCCACGACACATCCACGACAAGCTGGCATTGCTACCGAGATCGCTCGACACATTGACACATCCAATGCTGCCAATAGTTAGATATACATTTGCATTTCCATGGACAACAAGCAGGGGCCGTTTCTCTCCTGCCCTCCTTTCCCCTTCTTGTCATCGCGTGCTTCGTAAAGTGATACACAGACTCCTTTGCTCCGAACTGGAGGAGAAAGGCTCGGAATGGCCACGACAGATTCATATCACATGTAGCAACTCGGGAAGAGATAAAGGAGTCGCTTCCAGTGTCGTGCGTCGAGTCTGCACCAAGACCATAACCCTGGGGGCACAGACAAGTCATCATATTACAAATTTGTGTCGAATGTGCGAATCCATCAAGTCCCTTCCTGCCCTGCCCGCCCACCACCAAGCTGTATTGCAAAGTCATCGGCATCCCATCCATTACCCCCTCCCCTCTCCGGGTTTTAAACGTAACGCCGCTGCCAAAGCTCAGGAGTGCCAAATGCCCCCAAGTGAAAAGCCCCAAGCAAGCATTCAAGCATCCGAGGGAGTGGGCCGAGTTCAACCATTGGCAATTTGAAAAACCGCCATTCCCTCATTTACCGGTCAACTTCTTTCTCTCGTCATCGCTGTCTTCATCTTCCCCTTCGCTCCATTCAATCCCGTCGTCGCCGACGGCAAAGATCGTCTCGCCATCCAATGACATCCTCGGTTGCGGCGGATTGGGAGGCTTGGAAGGCGGTGCTCCCTGCGTACTATTTTGGAGCGCAGGTGCTGGGGAAGGCCTCCTGGCTCCAGAAGGTTCGTGAGCGATGGCGTCCGTGATCGAGGTCGCCGCTCCGCCTCCGGAGGGGGGAACTGCTCTTTCTTGATCCTTTCGGGCGTTGGCGGCCTCCTCGTCATCATCATCGATGGAGTCCGCGATGCTGCGGATCTCGAAACCGTCGTCATCTTGGGCGAGCTGTTAAAGCAAAAATATATCAGCTGAGTGTCTTCTTCCTGTAGCGGCCACTTTGAGACAAAAGGGCATGACAAAACTCACTTCATCACTCATCGCAAACCGGCGATTATTCGCCGTTGGCCTCCACAGATATGCAATAAAAGCAATATTGAACAAATACACAAGATTCAACCATCCATCTAGCACAAACCATCTGGTCTGCCAATGCTCTGGCACAAAATTCGCGGCCCCTGACCCGGCAATCGCGAAGCTGTTGATGAAGAAAAAGGCAAAAATGACCAGCACACTTCCCAGAATGCACCAGGAGAGCTTCTTGTACATCATTGCCTTTGTCTTTTGCTTGCGGTCGATAAGATCCTTGATGGTGACATTGAGAGACGACAGTGTCCACACATAGAACGCTGTCATGGTACCTGCGAGTGGTAGGACGACGAAGAGAATGAGGGGACCGACAGATTCGGGGGTGACGGCCATGGACGCGATGGCATAGATAACTCCAAAGATGAAGTGTGCGGCAGCTAGAATGCGGACGTAGATCATTGTCCTGCCGAGGGACGGTTTCACCACCCCATAGCCCATGCAAACAATCAGAAGGAGGAAGAAAGAGAAAGAGTTTCGTCCAGCGTTGAGGATCGAAACGATGATCATGAACATTTTGTTGACTGCGTTGTTACCGTGACGGTTCTGATAGTCGTAGAATCCCCATGTCATCAGCTGCTCGACGATCAAGAAGATGATAATGGCCGTGATGTAGTTTTGTACTGGGAGGATATCGGAACGGTTCTGGAAATAGAGGAAAGCCCAAAATACCCCCAGCACAGCGTAGACAATGGTGAGGCCGCCGTAGAATGGGAGTTTTGCTATTTGAGCTGCCGGCAGCTCACCATATGCGTTCCTGAACTCCACCACACCGTTGTACTCGTGATCGGAGAAAGCGTACGTCGAGACGCAGTAGTAGCCCGTTCGACGGATCGGGTAATTGATGGCCTTCGGGTCTTTCAAATGGATTGCTTCGTTTGAGATCGGATTCTTCGAGGCCTCTGTGGCATTAGGGGCCAGTATGAAAGTGCCTACATCCTTCTCTTCGCATAACCCTTGTGCCACAGCGTCCGTGGTGCATATTGTCTGGAGGTCTCGGTAGGACTCCCCGCCAGGCGGCATCCTGCCTATCAACGGCTCATCTTGCCACTCGAAAATTATGAGGCTTGCGATCGGGTCGGTGTTGTCTTCGGTTTGGTCCGGAAGGAACTTGACGAGGATGAAAGGATCTATTGACCCGCCCCAAGATTTCCGACTGTACATCCCTGAACACCGCTGGCGGTGTTCGTCATCTTGTTTCTAGTGATTGTCAGCGGGCAGAGCACTGTGCAACAAGATCCCCTCCTTGCTCTCACAATTTGAACTTCATCTCCGGCGACAATGGCGGCTAGGTACGCCAGGAGGCCGAGTGAAGGCACCCACCGGCGCATGGTGAAGGTAGAACCGTTTCGGGTTGCAGAGGCAGAAACAGTCAAGGGCAAGAGTAAATACAGATCACTGTCGATTGTTACACCCAAATTTATTTAGTCGGAGGGCATATCAAGAGGGCTAAGTGAAAGGCATGTTGTGGTTGTCGAAGGAGAGTTGTTGCCAGCTGCGATGTTGTGACTGGAGGATTGGGGGACGTACGACATCCCGTTTTGGCTGTCGGAGACATTTCCAGACTGCGCCAGACCGCAGGCAGCTGCTTTCACTCAATAGAACCAATTCACTGATTTTGATGAAATCCTGATGGAATCAGCTATTTACTGGGGTATCTTCAACTGAGCACGATCATTTCCCTTGCAGGCTTATCAGATGTTCATATTGGTTGCGCACAAATGCAGAGCACGGGCTTGAGATGGAGCTCTCAGGGGTGGCGCGCAAGACCACCGAGTGATTGACATCCTTCCAGAGCAGGCAATGAGCGACCTGCATACGGACTACTTATCCATCTTTCTTTCTTGCTGATCACTACTTAAATTTGGCCTTTCCTATCAAACTTCTCGCCGTTTCACAACATATGAGCGGTGCCAGGAAGTCGGTGTCATGCTGCCACCCTTGCTTCTCATCACGGTCCAAAATATCGTCGATGGCTTTGTGAAGCTCGCTCGCCACTGTGCGATTGCTTGTTAATGTTACAATTTGGCTGGCCCAGCCATAGAAGAAGACCGAGGCATTGATAGGAGTAAGCCGCAACCGATCCCTCACACGGGCAGCAACGGAGGTAGGAAACGATTGGCGTGATTCGACATTCAGCGCCACTGAGGTAGATCCCGGGCCAAAGAGAGCATTGACGTCGAAGTCGACCACTCGGACCGGGAATCGCATCGTTGTCGGAATAGCATGCATCGAGAGTTGACCAAAAGCCTCCCTTAGGGTCGATGAGGGTCGATCTCTGTATTGCCCTTCACCCAGCAGGATCTCAGCGCGGTTCACTTCGCTGGGCGTCCCCATGCATTGGACTATCTCCCGCATCCTCTGAGCAGCGTGCAGAGTACATTCTAGATCTCGCGCAGCAAGGAGAGGGTATATGTCGTTGGGCAACATCGGCGATGATACCTCGGAATCGATCTGGTTCACAATCGCTTTGTGATAAGTCTCAGACTTGCGCACAGAGGTTGACAGCAGTTGATGACTTGGATAATGTGAAATGTCAGAGATTAATGCCAGCAATATTGTACAATCAACATTGATGGTGCTGGTCAAAGGGACCGTTGGTGCAGTCGGGATCAGGGTTTCAAGATCGAGCTGCCGCTCCTCAACGAGTTTGTGGATATCCATATTGCATTCGACAATGGCACCAGTTGCGCGTAAGTCGGCAAGGAACGCATCCACATCAGGGACGATACCTTCGCGAAGATTTGGTAGGACAACCCGAAGCTGTGGGTGCTGAAACTGGACTCTGACTTCTTGCGCCGCGGTCTTAAGATCTTCACAAAGTCGCACAAGTTCAAGTTTACCTCCCCCCCTGCTACCATCGTCAGTCCCAGGAGTATGTCCGTTTTCTGCGTCGCTATCTTCACCACGATCTCCATAGGTTTCCCAGCCTTCCTTGGCCATCTCAAAAAGGAGTCGTTTCTCTGTTAAAGTTGAGATTTTGACCCATTGCAATCCGTTGTCGGCAACAATATCCACCAATGTCTCTTTCTTCGTCACACCCCTCAGAATGGCTTTTCGGCTTACCGATTCATCCTCCAGAATCTCCTTACCGAAAGTGTTGTCATTTCCGACAACGAACATTTTCTTACCCAGAGCTGTAATATGACGACATGATTTTGCGATACCCCAGACCGCTTCATAGAAGGGTAGGTTAGAGCTCCTCAGCGCGTGCAGTTGTGGGCTTTCGTCATCTTGCAGGTCTGATTTGTCGACAATACAAGGAGGGTTGCTGTAAGAAGTTGCAAGCACGTGAGCTATCTTTTCCAAGCTTTTTACCTCCGACTCAATCCCTCTTTTGAAGACTCTGAGTTCTACTTGCTGTTGCTTTCCTCGGGCCTTGAGATGCGCCTGATATGATTGAAATTCCTGAAGCAAGGCTCTCGTCCGGGATTGGAGGCTGTTGAGGAGATCCGCCGAGCTCTGTGGGGAAAGTTCATTTCCATCGTGATCATTCGAAACAAGCATTGGAGCCCTTTTGCCGACTTGTGAGCATGGATGGGGTAATCATCGAATGAGAGAAGCAAGATTATGTCCAGTGGTGAAGAGATGCGAAATAGGTGCCTTTTGTGAAGAATGTGACTTTAGGCTGAACCTCGACAGTACTCACGTTGCGGAGTAAGTATACCGAGAGACCTTCTCATTGGCGGAATCAGACACACTGCCAAGCCCAGTTGTATTCCTCTCAGACTGGGTGCGCCAGTGAGCGAAACACGGTAACGGGTCTCGGTCTCGATTGCAAATGCCCAGGTGTGTGGCCATGCTTCAGAGTTCTGGATTCTTGATTTGATCGCCTGGTAACCACATGCACACCCTGGAGTCAGCAGTCACGAGCATGTTGTAGCGGGGATTGCATTGCACTACTGGCGCCTTGATTCCTCGACCCGACAATCGGACCATAGGCTCCTGCCGAACATCGTTGACATTGTGGGTATCCCAGACAAGGAGGTCCGGCTGGTCGCCCGCACCGCCGACAACATACCTCCCATCTTGTGTAAAACAGACGTCTCCTTGGCCCAGCGGCTTTCCCGATGTTGACACAGGAGCAGCTCGTCCAGTACCAGCGGTCTTCCCTTGTAGAAATGATTTGACCGTCCCATCAAAAGCGTCTAGAACGAAATGGCCATGATAGTCAGTGCCGAGAAGCATATTTTTTCCATCGTTCGAAAACTCCAATTTGGTCCATGCTCGACCCTTCGTGGTAGGGGTGTACCTATCCTCCGCTCCAGCCATGTCAAAGGTAGCAAAGGGAGCTTTGTCGAAGTTTCGGACATCATAGAGGAGGATAGAGGAGGTAGATTGAGACGCTATCGCCATTATCTGCGCAGAGGGGTCGTAGGCCGCGAGGTAGGGAGTAACAAGTTTCAATTTTCCTTGCGGGCTTCTAGAGTTCAGGTCCCATAGACAAACCATGTCGTCGTTGCCGCACGATAAGAACTGATCACTTCCAGGAGACAGCGCTATACAAGTTACTTGTCCCGTATGAGCCGTAAAGTAGCGAACGAAGCTCTCGTTGTGGAGTTCCAATAAGCGTAGAGAATCATCTTGCTTCGTACTGGCAAACAGAACATTGCGCGAGTGGTGAGTGAACCGAGCCAGGTGAATACCATACTTCTTGCTGGGTATCGTCTTGGTTCTTTTTCCTTCTTTTATATCGTAAACATGCATCGTTTCGTCGTCTGAGGCGGCCACGAGGAACTCGCCCATATCGTCGAAATCAAGGGATGTGACACGACTTTCGACCCCGTCTGAGCGAGTAGAACCGGGAAATTGCTAGATCTGATTAGCAGATACATGACGATAGGGTAAGAAGTACTTACTCTCGCAGGCCGGTATTGCTTGATCACATCGTGTACTTTCTGCTGCGGGAGTGTTGCCATGGCTAAGGATGGGGAGAAAGGTCCAAGCTGCGCAAAACGCTGCGCATCGACACGAAGATGCCTCCAATGCAAGCAACAAGTGAGTTTAGAAGAAGAGCCAGTGTCAGATTGTGCAGCAAAAAATGATACTTGAATTGGACACACTTTAGAGTCGTCTCATATCAAGAGAAAATGCGCGGTTCCTGTGCTTGAGTTGCCTATTTGAGGGCCTTGGATTGTCTTTCGCACTAAGAATTGGCGTAGACCCCACCTAAAATCAGAGTGGCCCTGCAGCAAACAATCGGTGCTCCCAGCCCCCAGTCAGCTGGAGGGTGTTGCTAACCCTTGGCACAGAACCACCTACCCCGGCCTCTTAGGCTCATGTACTCCTACCTCATAGAGCCCTCTGGTGCCGCTCTTCTTTCTCCGACGTCGCTTTCGCGTAAGAATAAATCCGTTGTGGTGGAATAATTTTCTCGAACGACAGTGTGTCGCACGCGCAACTTCTTACAGTTGCTGACCTACCACCAACTCGTTCGACCTTGACCACCCTACCACCCAAGAATATGTTGCGACTTGTCTGTTGATCCCTGCGGAAAAAAATCACGGCAAGTCCAGGTACGAAGGGAAGAGAAACAGCCACTCGAGCACCGGGCAACTCAACCATGTCAACGACAGCGGGCGCTTTCATTGCTGGCGGTATTGCCGCTTGCGGAGCCGTCACCGCAACACATCCTTTCGAAACAGTCAAGATCAGGCTTCAGCTCCAAGGAGAATTACAAGCCAAAGATGTGGCAGTAAGGAAATACAAGGGTGTTTTCCACGGAGTCGGGGTCATCCTGAAAAATGAAGGACTAAAGGGATTATACAGAGGAATCGGAACTGCATACATCTACCAGATACTATTGAATGGCTGTCGATTGGGATTTTACGAGCCACTGCGAGCGACGGTTACCAAGCTCGTTTATAAGGACACCAATGTCCAGTCTCTTGGTATCAATATTTTTTCCGGCGCAGCTTCTGGTATTCTGGGGGCTATGGCAGGCTCGCCTTTCTTTCTGGTCAAGACCCGACTACAGTCATACTCTCCTTCCTTGCCTGTGGGCACGCAGCATAAATACCGCAACGCTTTTGACGGATTGTCACAGATCTACAAAGCAGAAGGAGTAAGAGGTCTATACCGAGGCATGGGCGCATCGATGGTCAGAACCGGAGCTGGAAGTTCGGTCCAGCTGCCGACATATTTCTTTGCAAAACGACGGTTAATACGCCATTTCGGAATGGAAGATGGGCCCGCATTACATTTGCTGAGTTCAACAGCAAGCGGCTTCGTGGTCTGCGTCTTTATGCATCCTCCGGTACGTTTTGTCCATAATCCTCCAGACTTTGCCATATTACAAGTATTGACATTTGGTGCAGGACACTGTCATGGCGCGATTATACAACCAACATGGCAATCTCTATAATGGTATTTTCGACTGTCTTTGGAAGACTATTTCAACGGAAGGTGTCCTCAGCGTCTACAAAGGCTTCACGGCGCATCTCGCTCGAATATTGCCGCACACCATCCTCACATTGACACTGGCAGAGCAGACGAACAAGCTCATCCGAGGAGTCGAGAGCAGAATCCTACCCAAGGCTCTCGAGGAGAAGCTTTGAGAGGCAGGATTCGATAGCACCGACTTAGCGTTGCACTGTACGGCGTTGTTTGGGGCTGGCTTCCATCTTCTTGAGAGTTTGAAGACTCAGGCTTTTGGACACCAGGCGGATCTTATGTGTATCGAGGCTCTGGAGGTTGCTGTATCCATATATCGCATGCCAATGTGAATTTGACAATTTGAGAGACACATTTACCCCTAAAAACCCTCACGGTGGTAGAAAAAGAGGCACTCGGGAAGAATGTATCATGTCCTTGCCACTCACAGGCATGCTCCAGAAGAGATGGTCGTAGCGTATACCGAGTACCCGCCGCTTCATATAATTAGAGCTTGACATACATGAAACAATGCACGGCTCAGTGCAAGGTTAGGGCTCAGGCGAGACCGATCTCGGAAGGATGCTGGTTGTGTGGCCGGTGCTACCGTATTAGGAATGGACGATCAAAGCAGCATGGGAACGTCCGAGAATGTCATAATTAGGGGCGGATCAGATTAGATTAGATTACTTCCTCGAACTGTGAAACTCTCGGCGTGCCGCTACTTTTGATATCCACAGTACCGAGTAGGTGTAGGCCATTTCTGGCCTCGGACAAAAAGAGAGGAGGGCCAACAACAAACTAATCCTTGATATCTGGGATTGTGATGAGATTCTGCAAGAGATTCAATTGCGACATGAGGGTAGGTCGCTGCACTTGAGCATTCTTACCCCGATCTCGAGTCAATGCCAATACAATCACTTCTCTCGAATATTTCTTTGTCCAGAATATTCGGATCGGCGCCGTGGTTAACTAGCCATCGCTAGACTATATTAGAAGGCTAGATTGGCCACTTGTGAAGCACTGACTCACGCAAGAGGTGGAGGATAATCGTTTCGCCAAGCGTGATTCAAGTCGTAACCATGCCACAGCATTAATTCGAGAACAGGATATGAGCGCTGTTCCACAGCCTTTGATGAAATCGAATGGTGTCGGCTGGGCACCAGCAGCCAGGAAACACTGGACTATGGGTGGATTATTTTTTCAACAGCAATCTGCAATGCACTAAATAGATCCAGAGCAGTTGAACTCCCAGGGAGGGACTCGACGGTTCTGATGTCACCAATCGAATAAGCGAGGGCAAGGGGAGTTTCGCTGGTGGCCATAGTGTTCACGATGTCTGCGATGTACGAGGTAGGAATAGCTGCTCTTGGACATTATATAAGTCTGAGTTCTTGGCACCAAGGGAAGCCCACCTCCAAAAGCGGCGGCCGCAACCGCCAAATTCGGAGGCACATTTCTCTGCAAGTTGCGTGGGTCTATGGTCAGTAAAGTTTTTCAGAAACTTCAGGCAGCTGTCCAGCTTAGGGGGTTGAAATGACCACAGTGGCTAATCAAGAAAAGTGCCTCTCCTGAAGTCCATCCACGATCATTGTTCAGCATTTCATAAGGAATCCACATTGGCTAAGAATCCGTGGTCACTGTCACGCACTCTGGTGGTGCATTGTTGTGGTAAAGTGGATCAACATCGGACGCAGGCCACTACTTAGCCCTGCACCCCTGGTCGCCCCCCAGCCTGCGCGAACACGCTCTGTCACGTTGTCGCGGTTCACGCTCTAGCGCGTTCACATTAAATACGCCCAGCAACCAGTTTACATCTGCTCTCAATTGACATTTCTCTTCCACCCTTTCTACTCAACAACCACGATCACTTCTACTTGTCCTGCTCATATACCAGTACTTCTTTGTTCCCTCATTGCTCCTTATCTCATCACTGAACAATGACGACTCAAGTTACGCCGTCGAAACAGGTGTGTTTGCCACTTGCATCATGGACTCTTTCGACATGTACATCTTACTAACAAATACGCGCAGGCGGCTGCAAGCCTCGAGAATCTCAAGGTCAAAGACAGTCCTATTAAGAAACTCAACTTCAATGTTGAGGATAAGGAAAACATGCCTGTTCCCCTCGAGCCCACCGAACCCACGGCCAAACCGGAGCCAGAGACTGAGAAACAGCCGGCACCAGAGGCAGAGGAGAAGGACAAACAGGCTCAGGTCCCCAAGACGCTTAAAGAGCTCGAGGCTGAAGAGCCACTGCTGCAAGAGAATCCTCATCGCTTCGTTCTCTTCCCTTTGAAGTACCATGAGATTGTACGTGTCATGGCTACCAGCGCAGATTCTTCTGCGACCGAAGCTCCCTGGCTAACGTTGCACAGTGGAACATGTATAAGCGTGCCGAGGCCAGTTTCTGGACGGCAGAAGAGGTCGATCTTTCTAAAGATCTTCACGACTGGCACAACCGTCTAAACAATGACGAACGCTACTTCATCTCCCATGTCCTCGCTTTCTTCGCTGCCTCAGATGGAATTGTCAACGAGAACCTTCTTGAGCGCTTCAGCGCCGAAGTGCAGGTACCGGAAGCACGTTGCTTTTACGGGTAAGCAACTTCCTCCCGCTCCATAGCTACGTTACTGACAGTCCCAAAAGGTTTCAAGTCATGATGGAGAACATTCACTCTGAGATGTACAGTCTTCTGATTGACACCTATGTGAAGGATCCCAAAGAGAAGACGTATCTGTTTGACGCCGTCGACACGATCCCTTGCATTCGCAAGAAAGCAGACTGGGCTTTGCGATGGATCTCAGACAAAGAGTCGAGCTTTGCTCAACGTCTGGTTGCTTTCGCTGCTGTCGAAGGCATCTTCTTCTCTGGATCGTTTGCATCCATCTTCTGGCTGAAGAGCAAGGGTCTCATGCCTGGCCTCACCTTCTCCAACGAGCTCATCTCTCGTGATGAGGGCATGCATACGGACTTTGCATGCCTGCTGATGCAACATCTGCAGCACAAGCCCGACCCACAACTCATCGAAAACATTATAACGGAGGCTGTTAAGATTGAAAAGGAGTTTCTCACCGATGCCCTTCCCGTCGCATTGCTTGGCATGAACTCGAAGCTCATGTGTCAGTACATTGAGTTTGTCGCTGACCGCTTGCTCCTCGCCCTGGGCAACAAGCGACACTACAATGCGCAGAACCCCTTCCCATTCGTAAGTACTATCCCATGTGTTCATCGGTGCAACAGTTATGTGGCGCTGTTACCCTTCCTAACCGAAATGCACGTCGGATTTGAAATGCTAACTGGATGGGACCTTTAGATGGAAAACATCTCTCTTGCGGGCAAGACCAACTTCTTCGAGAAGCGCGTCGGCGACTACCAAAAGAGTGGTGTCATGACTTCAGCCAACAAGAAATCTGAAGAGAAGTCTACTTCCCCCAAGGAGGAGAAGACGGAAGCCGAAAGCAACGGCATCAGCTTTGACGAAGACTTTTAGATCATACTAGATCTTTGACGACGATTTCATTTTCTGTCGGTGTTCAAGGCGTTTCCCGGTAAACGAAGGAAGAAAACCTAGAGGGTGTCCCATCCTTTCCACATGTTATACCCATTTCACATTGGCATCTGTCAACAAGAGAGCGGCGCGGCGGCTTTACACGGTTCTCGAGTGAGGAGGATATGGCTATTCTTGCTGAACTGGTTTTGAAAACAGTTTGCATCTTCGCGGATGCATGGGTCAGCTTGAGAGGCTCTGGCTTTTTGGTTAATCATGGAAGAAATTCATAGCGTGGTGAACTGGAAGGTTGTACGAAATACATACTAGTGCTCTGAACAAGAACTCCAATCATAAACATAATAGCTGTATTATCCTGTCTCATGTCGTTCGCGGATGCAGCGAAAAGCCTTAGCCTTGGTTCCATTTGCTGGTAAAAGCCAGCCTCATCGGATTCGGCCTATGTTGACCCTCTGGGTATGACACGAAATTGATCGTGCGAAATCATCACCGCTTGGTAGCTTCAGTATTATCTCCTTGGAGATGATTTCATCCCCCATGCTATAGTGACCGCGGGGGTTCGACCACCTTCTCAGCATGGATTGGGAGCCATTCGAACTGCACCAGTGTTTCTTGCTCCCGTCACTGGCTTCCCTTGCACTTCAACCTCGTGGTGATCATTATCCGTGCAATGCCATTCCCTTTCTCAGGATGTATCATCTTTGCGACATTGGCGGCGCGACGGAGCCTAGTCGACCACCCGTTGATTGACGGGCATACCGGTATGTGCATCCAACCCATTCAGAGCGACCTTCACTTCTTCCCTTTCTTCTTTTTCCCCTTTCCACCTCCACCCCCATGCGTCACAGCTGGCGGCGCAGTGACAACTTTGTCCTCGACCTTGGTTGTCGTAACGCCGTTCCCCATATCGATGTCCATCTTGTCACCATCCACGCCTGTTCCAGCTCCTGGCGCCGCCGCAGATACAGCAACAGCGGAAGGCATCTCAATGATCTCCCCCTTGGCCAGTCTCCCTAGTCCAGTCAATAATCTCCCAACTTCAGCAGCCTTGTCGGTTCGATATTTCAAGCATATTCCGCTCTCTGCGTGGTACGTTTTCAAGGTGAGAACAGCAGAACGCTCCCGCTTGCTTTGCGGCTGTGGATTCGCAGCTGTTGGCGCTGTGTCTGTCGTCGAGGGGACAGAAGCAGAATCCTCTTTCCGTTTAGATCCCTTGGGGTTTGACTTGGCCTGTGTATTAGGTTTCCGGGGTAGTGCATACTTTGTCGTGATCCGTGCGGAAGGGTAGGCTTGGATGAGGAGCGAGGATTGGTGCAGATACGAGTGCAGATCTGTAAGGTAGGTCATATTTGGCGTTGGGCAATACCCTGCCTCCTTTTTCCTCTCAAAAAGGTTCGTGCGTGAGACTTCGTGGGTAAATTTGTGGTGTGATCGACTTTGCGCAACGGTGTGATTTTTGGTGCTATCGATGCAGGGATGTCAATTGAGTGATTGAAATATCGACTCCTTCAGACAATGACGTCAGTGAATGTGTGCCGTCAGGTGTCAGCTAGTCTCCATTTCCCGCGCTGTGGAAGACAGCCCCAGGAGAGCCAGGTTGGTGCTTCGATTAAGTGAATAGTTAAAGAATGTACAAGCATGTACTCGGCAGATGCGGGGATTGTGAACGCACCATAGAAGCGGAAAAGCGAAAAGGAGCCGAGTCTTGGCGCCCAAGTTCGGAGGCCCCTCGGCCGGCGTCAGGGTCACGTGCAAGCGGCGGGATAAGCCGTACAGCCACTTGCCCCAATACGATATACGATCCGCCAATCAGCTTCTCGCCGGGTTTCGGACCCAAACTTAACCCGGACACATCATACGATAGTATATGTGCTTCAGTAGTGTGTAGTCCAATATTTCGACCTCATTATCAGAAGACTTCAAACGGAAATACCGGGCAAAAAAAAAATAAACATGCAGGTGGGACTCCAGACGGAGGCATCGCCTCCGAGGCTTATTATGCACCTGTTGAGCTATTTGACGGGCCCCAGAGTCAGTACATTTATGGGGGACCGTGTCGTCCCTGACAGGCTTCTGCTATGGCTGTGTTGTTTACTTTCTCACAAGAACACAATTGATTCTTTTTGCATCAATGGCGTCAAGCAGTCAAAGACAGAATGAGACCGAAGATGACGAGAACGACATCTCCAGTACCCGGTCACGAAGTGCGCAGTCGGTTTCGAGTTGGGATGAAAAACTGCAGCGCAGCCAGTCAATGTCCAGCAAAGCGAGCAACTATGAGCCCATCACGGATGCTGACCGTGCTGAGATCACACGGGTTGCCAGCGAGGCAAAGGTAAGGCTTCTAGGAGCTCTATGGAGTTAAATCGTGAAAGCTCCTCAACTCACCGCAATTGACAGCCACCCGAACAGCACGGAGAAAGTCCTGACCCTGCTCTGGATCCTTCTGATCCCGCTTTCGACATATACAAATGGGCCAGGATGACCCTTCGAGAAGCAGAAGGTGCAAACATCAAGCATCGGCGCGCATCAATCACATTCAGGAACCTGAGCGTATCAGGCTCTGGGATCGCCATGAATCTCCAGCCGACGGTAGCGTCCTATCTCCTTGCTCCCTTGCGCATAGGGGAATTGGTACGCTTTGCGAAAAAGCCACAGAGAAAGATTCTCGCCGGTTTTGACGGCGTCGTCAAGCCCGGAGAGATGTTGCTGGTCTTGGGTCGCCCTGGAAGCGGATGCTCGACCCTTTTAAAGACGTTAGCTGGAGAACTCCATGGCCTGAAAGTAGGGGATGACTCGGTCATACACTACAGTGGTATGGATTGCCTCCTTGCTTCGGCTGACCGTATGGACCTAATATCTGGACAGGAATACCTCAGCACCAAATGATCAAGCACTTCAAGGGCGAGATCGTCTATAATGCCGAAGTCGACATACACTTTCCACATTTGACCGTCAGACAGACTCTCGAATTTGCCGCTGCCATGCGTACCCCACGAAACCGAATCTTGGGGGAGTCGCGAAAAGAAAACGTCAAGAGGGCCACAGCCGTCGTAATGGCAGTATGCGGATTAACTCATGTCCAGAATACAAAAGTAGGCAATGCGTATGTACGAGGTGCTTCAGGAGGGGAGAGGAAGGTAAGCTTCTGGATATACAACACCATTAACATATGCTAACCCTTTTGCAAGCGAGTGAGCATTGCTGAGATGCTTCTCTCATTTTCACCCATCGGCTGTTGGGACAACAGTACGCGTGGCCTAGACGCTTCTTCTGCTCTCACTTTCGTCCGAACTCTCCGGTTGAGTGCCGACTTGATCGGCTCTGCCCACGCAGTTGCCGCGTATCAGGCTTCCCAGGCGATGTACGACGCTTTTGACAAGGTCGTGGTCCTCTATGAGGGACGGGAGATCTACTTTGGCCCAACCATTCTTGCGAGAGACTACTTTACAGAGATGGGTTGGCACTGTCCAGCTCGACAAACAACCCCTGACTTTCTGACCTCAATCTCAAACGTGAACGAAAGAAAAACGAGAACAGGATACGAAGAAAAGGTTCCTCGTACCGCTGTCGAATTCGAAAAATACTGGCGGAACTCGAGCCTTTACAGGTCCCTCCAAGAAGAAATGAAGACTCACGAAGAAGAAGATTACACCTCCGCTGCGGCTGATGAATTCAAAGCCGCTCGTCGTGCGGTCCAAGCGCACCATGTTCCCCCGAGCTCCCCGTACACCGTTTCGACGCCGATGCAGATTCAGATTTGCACCAAGCGAGGCTTTCAGCGTCTTTGGAACGAACGGGACATCCGATTCACCTTGGTCATTGGACAAGCGAGTATGGCCCTCATTATCGGCTCCATTTTCTACGGCACGATCAACGACACGAATAGTTTCTTCGCGAAGAGTTCCGTTATTTTCTCCGCTGTATTATTGAATGCTCTGATTGCAGTTACGGAAATCAATCGCTTGTACGACCAAAGACCTATCGTGGAAAAGCAAGCTTCTTACGCGTGAGTGTTATGTGGCCAGACTGGCCTTTGAAGCGCTTCGAAATCCCCAGTTGCGCGTCGGCTCTTCTGTAGTCCGTACTGACCTGGTTATAGCTTCTACCACCCATTCACAGAGGCGCTGGCTACTGTAGTAGCGGATCTACCAGTTCAGCTGCTCACCGCCGTCGTCTTCAACGTTGTCCTCTATTTCCTCTCGGGCCTCCGGAGGGAAGCTGCACAGTTCTTCGTCTTCTTCCTCTTCGCCTTTCTCACGAGGATGGCCATGATGGGACTCTTCAGAACCATCGGCGCCGCGACCAAAACAGTCACACAAGCACTTGCGATCGCTGCCGTGTTCGTCCTGGCGATAGTGATATACACTGGTTTCACAATACCTCGACCCAATATGCACCCTTGGTTCAAGTGGCTGTCGTGGTGCAATCCGGTTGCATTTGCATTTGAAGCACTTCTGGTCAATGAGTTTCATGGAAGGCAATTCCCTTGTGGCAAGTAAGTCAATGTTTTCGTCCCCTTCATCGCGCTCCACTAACGCGGATCATAGTTTCGTTCCTGCATATCCAAACCTGCTTGGGGACACGTTTATCTGCTCTGTTCCCGGTGCGATTGTCGGCCAATCGACGGTGTCTGGTGACACGTATCTCGAAAAATCTTACAGATACAGTTACAGCCACACCTGGCGGAATCTCGGCATAGTGATTGCTTTCTTGATCTTCTTCATGATCACTTACCTAGGAGTATCTGAAATCAACTCCAAACCAGATGGCAAGGGAGAAGTGTTGCTGTTCCGCCGTGGCCACGTACCACATTACGTCGAAGAGGGGTTGAGACATGAAAACTCGGAAGATCCTGAGGCTTCCCTCGCAATAACCGGGAGGTCTGACACCCAAGCTGAAGATATCCGGGCAATCCCACCACAAAAGGCGATCTTTACTTGGCACAATGTCAACTACGATATCCCTGTCAAGGACGGTACACGCAGGCTACTCGACCAAGTATCAGGATGGGTCAAGCCTGGAACATTAACTGCTCTGATGGGTGTATCAGGTGCTGGGAAGACAACACTGCTGGACGTTTTAGCACAGCGCACCTCGATCGGAATTGTGACGGGTGACATGCTTGTGAATGGAAAGCCCTTGGACCCCAGCTTTCAAAGGAAAACAGGTATGACATTATCAGCAATAGCATTTCATCGCAGCTTGTGGGCTAACAAATGGCAGGGTATGTACAGCAACAGGATCTCCATCTCGAGACCTCGACTGTCCGTGAAGCATTGCGTTTTAGCGCCATGGTCCGTCAGCCGAAGTCTGTCTCAAAGAAGGAGAAGTACGAGTACGTCGAGGAAGTCATCAAGGTTTGTATATCCTTGTCGCGAAGGTATGAGGGTATGCTGATTGTCCTGAAGATGATCAACGCCGAAGACTTTGCCGAGGCCGTGGTCGGTGTGCCGGGTGAAGGCCTGAATGTTGAGCAACGAAAACTCCTTACGATAGGGGTAGAGCTCGCCGCGAAACCTGCCCTCCTCTTCTTCCTCGATGAGCCAACCAGTGGGCTGGACTCACAAAGCTCCTGGTCTATTCTCAGCTTCCTCCGAAAACTTGCCGACCACGGACAAGCTGTTCTGTCGACCATTCATCAGCCCAGTGCGCTACTGTTTCAGGAATTTGATCGATTGCTCTTCCTCACTACCGGAGGCCGGACCGTCTACTTTGGCGAAATCGGCACCAACTCACAGACCCTGACCGGCTACTTTGAGAGGCACGGAGCCAGGCCCTGCAGCGATTCTGAAAACGTGGCAGAGTACATGCTGGAAGTGGTCAATCCTGAAGCAAGCGCCAAAGACAACCGTGATTGGGTTGAGACTTGGAGATCGAGCGAGGAGAACAAGAATATACTGGCAGAGTTGGACCGAATCAACCAGGAAACAAGCAAGATTCCCGTGGAAGACGACACCGGCACGAGTCTGAGTCAGTATGCAGTTCCGATTTACACTCAGACATATTACACGACCGTCCGCGCCTTTCAGCAGTATTGGAGGACTCCTGGATATATCCTCCACAAGTTCGGCCTTGGTGTTGCTTCATCTCTGTGAGTATTGCCCAACATTTGAACTATTTGAAGGGAGAGGACGCTGATCGAGATAGGTTCATTGGCTTCTCATTCTGGCAGTCCAACAGCTCTCAACAAGGGTTACAGAATGTGTTATTGAGTGTGTTCATGCTTACCACAATATTCACGGCATTGATTCAGCAAATCATTCCTCGATTCGTCATTCAGCGGTCGCTCTACGAAGTTCGCGAGCGCCCGTCCAGGGCTTACTCGTATGTTGCATTTCTGCTGGCCAACATCATCGTGGAGATACCCTACCAGATCCTGCTCGGGATCATGGTATATGCTTCGTATTACTACTCGGTTTTTGGGTAAGTCTTTTGAAGCATTGATCTCTGCATGTTCTGCGCTGACAGATGATCACAAAGCATACAATCTTCGGAAAGACAAGGACTTGTCTTGTTGTTCTGCGTACAATTTTTCGTGTATGCAAGTACGTTTTCGCAGATGGTGATTGCAGCTCTGCCTGACGCAGAGACTGCCGGTATTATTGCAACACTTATGTTCGCCATGTGTGTTTTGTTCAACGGGTGAGTAGTGATCTCCCTTTTTCACTTTTTGATTCGCATCAATTAACTCGTTCCCAGCGTGCTTCAACCACCGGATGCGCTGCCGGGCTTCTGGACGTTCATGTACCGCGTGAGCCCCTTCACCTACATCATCGACGGCATCGTGGCGACGGCGCTGCACAGCCGCAAGGTCGTATGCTCGGAAAACGAAATGAGCATCTTCTCTCCGCCACCGAACATGACGTGCGGCCAGTACCTCGCGCCCTACCTCCAGCTGGCGCCGGGCACGCTGTACAACCCCGCGGCGACGAGCAACTGCGAATACTGCGCGCTGTCTGTCGCGGACCAGTACCTGAGCCCGCGCGGCATCTCGTGGGGCCAGCGCTGGCGCAACTTTGGCCTCGTCTGGGCGTACGTGGCGTTCGACCTCGTCATGATCCCCCTGCTGTACTACACCTTCCGGATGAAGAAGTGGCACGGCCAGCCCGGGACGAGCAAACGCCGGCGCGGGCTGAACACGGTCTACGCCTGGATCCGCACGTTTGGCAGGTCTTGTCGGACCGTCCTCATCGGGCGCTGGGAGAAGCTGCCGCTGGAGAAGCGTGCAGAGAATCCCCGGATGTATTAATTACGAGTACACATTACATGTACTTGTGCTTCTGGTCGGAAATGATCATTTGGTATTGATGGGAGGGCGGTCAATTGCTGCGGGATACTTGCTTCCCTCCCATGATCTGGGTATCTGGGTTGTTTACTCGTACACCAGTATAGAGATCTAATCTTGCCATTTTTTTTTTTTTCAAAGGCGTTCGACTCTTAGATCTTTCAAAAGTCCTGATCTTTGTCAAGCCAGCCCGTTCCATGGTATTTTCCTCCTCGCTCCTCTTGTGTTCCTCTCCACCAAATAATTACCACTGGTGCCACCCCCTTTTGATACTTCAGCCTCATGCAGCGGATCACGTGAAGCTGTATTGGATAGCACATGTATATGTATATGACGGGAATACCAAAAGACACCCTCGGCAACCAGCTGATGAAAGCCTCATTCTCAAGCAAGGGATGATTGTCTGCTTTCAACTTGACTTTGCTCCTGTGCCGCCACGCATATGATGCATGACACGTCAAGGTGATGGATGGATGGATAGATGGATGGATCAGTAGCAATGGACCTGCGGCCTGGACCTGGATCAAAGTCTCGGCCCTCTTGTCGTCATGATTTGTCCCAAGTCTCCCTCCATTGTAAAATGCGTGGGGTTCGTCTACCTAGTACCCAGCTCAGCTGAAAAGATACGAACACGAAGGCTGTGGCCGTTGGGATTTGCGGATCCAGAAAGCGGGGGACTCCTCCAGAAAGTCTGGAATACGAAGAGCAACAAGGATTCGAGCAGCATCAGTACGACGAACGACGTCCTCTACTCCCCTTGTCCGTACATTAAGACGTTGACATCACGCTCGAAACCGGGTTCTCTTTTGAATCACCTACTGACTCACCCCTCTCAACAGCTGAAAGCCTCCCTACCTGCCAGATTCATTTCACAACATCTTCTGTACGCAATGTCCAACGCCCCAGTGCCGCCAAATGTGATGGTGCAGGTCTGTGCGAAGCCAGGCAAGGAGAAACGAGTCGAGGAGCTCATCGCCACTGTCGCCGACCAGGTCCGTCAGCATGAGCCCTGGGTCAGCTTGTACCGTTACTACAGAGCCAAGCATGCGGGAAGCTCGTCTGAGGAGGAGGGCGTCGAGTATATCATTGTCTTTCGGTATGTCGAGTCTACTCTCACAGCTCGTTCGATGAGGTCGCCCTGTCATGTACCTACCTACCTGGTGTAGAGCTCGGTTGAATGAAACGGCTGGAGGCGGTTGGGAACCAAAGCTGCTGCGAGACCAAACCACGCGTCCTTCCTTCATCCATTTCACTTGCTAACATGTGTTATTTTGTTGTTCTTTCCACAGGCTCGACGACATGTCAAAACTTCAGACTCGGCGTGACTTGCCGCACCACCAAGAAATCGCCAGAGCCATCCGCGAGGAGGATCTGTTGAGGACGCCGCTGAAGTACACGGAACTTGGGGATATGGGGTTCTGGAAACGCTGAAACACGACGCTTTTTCTTGGAGAAATAATCAACCGCGTTGTCACGTCGTTGTCTCGTTGTCGGCCCAGCTTGGTTGGACAAGTCAGGTCGTTCGTTCATCGGCTTCAGAGTCCAGGCAACAAACAAAAAGTCTTTGGGTTTCAGGCTGTTCACGATGCAAGAATCTTGGAGGAACTGGTCTGGCCGGCCAGGTACTTGACTGGTTGGCGTGCAGAGGTAGCAACAAGTGAGGTGCTGAATATCAAAAAATGTTTGTATGTAGTTGCGGAGTATGTAGGTGTGTTGTCGGGCAAACGCCACGAGGATTTTAATTAGAAAATGCGGAGAAGGCAAGGATTGAGGATGGCACATCCGAAATTCCACTCCAAGTGTTCGTCATCGAACCTGGCGAGCTGGTACAGTACCAATACTTTCCACATAGTATGAACCGCCCTTGACGCCTAAGAACGTGAACATTGCCCTCTCAATATGCCTCCGAGATTCAAGTCTCGTGGACTCCGGCGCTTTGTGTGCGCCGAATGCCAGCTCCGGAGCCTCTCTCGCGATCAACCTCTGGTCCGCCGCAAGTTCACCACATCCCCTCCGCTCCACGCTACATCGCCTCCTCCCCGAAGCAAGTACCTCCATCTCACGAACCGCAGCATCATCCGCCTCGCCGGGCCCGATACTGCCCTCTTCCTCCACAATCTCATCCCGGCCAAGATCCTCGACATAGGAGGGAGCACGAACCCGATCTACACGGCGTTCCTCTCGGCCCAGGGCAGGATATTGAACGATGTCTTCGTCTACCCACCAGCCCCCGCGGGTGATAAGCCGGGGGAAGAATGGTTTATCGAGGTTGATTCGGACAGCGCGGGCGACCTGTTCAAGCACTTGAAGAAACACAAGCTGCGGGCAAAATTCACGTTGGAGAAGGTGGATGGTCAGAGAATGGGGGTTTACTACACTTGGCCACCCCCGCCGTCGCATCCTTCCGGCGACAGTCACGACTCAGAGAGTCCGAGCAGCGCATGGGGCTTAGGGGGCCAGGATCCCAGACCCGGAATGGGCGTTCGGTGGCTGCTCGACGAGATATCCTCCAGGCCGGTCGCGCTGCAGCGTCTGGAAGACACGGGGAGTCAACGTGCCACGCTGGAAGAATACACGGTGCACCGCATGCTCAACGGGATCGCGGAGGGCCAGTCCGAGATCATCTCCGGCCACGCGCTGCCGCAGGAAAGCAACATTGATTTCTTCGGCGGGATCGATTTCTTCAAGGGCTGCTACCTGGGTCAGGAACTGACCATCCGGACGCACCACACCGGCGTGGTCAGGAAGAGGATACTCCCGTGCCAACTGTACGATCCCGACGCCGAACCACTGCCCGCAGACCAGACGCTCCCCGAGTACAACCCCGGTGTGCAACTGGCACTCCCGCCGCCAGGCTCCAATATCTCCAAGCTCAAAGCCAAAGGGCGAGGGCGGAGTAGTGGGAAGTGGCTGGCGGGCGTGGGCAATATCGGGCTCGCGCTGTGCCGCCTGGAGATGATGACGGATATCCAGTTGACGGCGGACAGGACGAACTACGACCCAGCTGAGCAGTACAAGGTCCAGCGGGGATCGGGGGAAGGCGAAGAACAGCAGGGAGTCATGATCAAGCCGTTTGTGCCCAAGTGGCTGAGGGATGGCGTCGAGCAGAGCTTACGGAGGAAGGAAAAGAAAGCTAAACCCCGACAGGAGGAGGACGAGGAAGAAGAGGAACTTGATTAAAGAAGAAACTTCTAATAAGATCAACCGGATGTCACAACAAGGCGTCTCATTCTGTGGTCGCTGAGCATCTCTACATTGAACCCAGAGGCTCATTCCACTTGCGTCAACGCCGCCGATCCTCCCTGACTTACTGACCTTCAAAGCCTAGCCTGGCAGACGGGCCTCGTCATTATGAAGCATCATTCTCTATGCTGCTCATCAGCTGGCTTCTTGTGGCTTGATCAGTCCATCGCATTGCTTGGAATGGACAGTCACGAGTCCCAACTTGCAGGCCAGCAATCGGTGTGGCACAAACCAGTGAGGCTCAAGCAAGAGGCATTTTCAGGCGCTGGTGAGATCCCATCGCATACTCTTCCTGTTGTGTAAGATCCATTGGTGGAGGAAACCGTCTCCTGGGGATACTTCCTGTTGCCATGTTCAGCACTTGACAACAGGCAGCAACTCACTGGCAAAGGATGCTCGAGTCTCTTCGTATAGGGGGACACAGAAACCTGATGGTGGGTCTCTGATATAGGTAGTTGTAGATGGTTCAAACCATCCTTCACTGTCAACCGCCATCAGTTTCCTTTGCTGCGGCCCACTCGACGCTTTCGATGCCTTCCCATGGGCCTTGTGCCACCACCTTCTTCGCTATTGCCAGTGACTTGAACACAATGACAGCAGTGCCCAGTAGAACCTTTTTATCTCTCCCTTCGACACGACGTTTCTTGTCTTTCAGCATCAGGACATTCTCGACGTCGCCTGAGGCGAAGTTCTCTTCCAGCGCCTCCTGATCGATATCCAGGCCGTCCGCTTCCTTGATCCAGCGCACCTTGACAGACCGGTCTATCGAGCCGGATTGCTCCTCCTCTGCCGTCTCTGCCGCCTGAGTTCGAGCCTGTGCCTCTTGCGCCTTGTGTGCCATTGCCGCTTCCCGTTTCTTTCTGTTCTCTTCAGCGATGCGTTTGATTTCGAGTTCTCGCTCCGTCCAGGTCCGCTTCACGCCGCCTACGGCGGTGGGCATTCCCGTGACAGAGCCTTCTCTTTTTTCCAGCTCTTCCTTCATCTGTCGCCGGCGGCTTTCGAGGGCGGCGGTCTCCGCCAGCCGCCTCTGCTTCGCCTCCCGCGTCTGGTCATACTTTATTTTTTCGGCGGCGTCTGTGAGGATGTTGAGCGCCGTCTGCAGGAGTTGGAACTTCTCCAGGGTTTCTGGCGTGGGCTTGACTTTGTCCGGGTGATAGAGCAGCGACGTCTTCCTGTAGGCACGGCGGATTTCTGACTCTGACGCTGTTACTGGTATGGACAGCAGTTCGTAGTAGTCGACAGCCATGTCTGCTGCGTCATTTGACGGCGCCATGGTTGCGAAAATGTCTGCTATGTGGATTCTATGTCTGGTTGTTGGAGTTCTGCAGGCAAAGGCAGAACTGCGCAAAGGCGGATGAGGTCACCGGAATTTTATGCTCCGCAGTATACACTACGGTGCACCGCACGCCCATATACTGTCATCCATTGATTCCTCGTTGCCTCGCCTCTTGCGGCTTTTGCAGGGCTCCATGCAAACCAGTTGTGTCCATATCTCTCAGTCTGTAGATGCCGGTATATCAACCTGTCACTGACATGCTCCCTCCCGCGTAATACATGCTGTTCTTTTTATACTCTTCCGAATAGGTCGTCAGAACAGTGCATTTCGCACCTTCCATGTTTCTCTGGCCAGCTCTTGATTTCCGTCACTCTCTTCTGACTCCATGACATCGACTTCTCCTCTCTAACTCTTTCTTTTCTCCTAGTATCTGAACTTTTCCTTTCTTTGTCCGCAGTATGTGCTTCTCCTACACTCTCAAAGGTGAATAGGAGACATGACAACTCCCCTCAAGCCACCCTCGGACCAGAACTGTCATGACCTACCTTGCCCCGCCCAAATCGCCTTTGCCATTGCCGTCATTCGTTCGAAACCACCCCAATCTTCCATAGAAGGTATCGAATTTCCGTGTCACAGAGCTTCCCGGGCTGATTTAGCGTCAGAATACCTCGAGCACCTTCGTCAGGCCATCGTGGTCCGGTCTCACAAACCCTCCGCGATTCTTGACTTTGACGCAACGATGTATTGGAAAAGCGCCTACCAGAAAGCCGAATCAGAGCGCTTGAAGCTAGCCGATGAGCTGGATCGGTTGAGAGAAGAGAGAGATTCCTTTCTACCTGCTGAGGATGTCCAGCCTCCAAAACGACAGTCTGCCGCTGGCAAACGCAAACGAGATGCTGTGACGATCCCGGTGAGAAAGGCCAAGCCAGCAACCAGACAGCAAAGGGAACTTGAAATTGACGATAGTGACTTGGGAATTGAAAGTCTCAATATACCGCTCACAGGTGTGTTTCAGGCATCTAGCGTGGGAAGATATTAATTCACTGCAGATCGTCAATCATTGCTTCGCGGCGTCAGTTCCCTCCGTCACAGCCTGCGTCTAACCGATCCCAGTCAGGAGGTTCTCGTAAATGCAATCAAGGCGCTCGCGATTTCCGTCTCAAGGATACTCCAGAAGCAACCGAGCGCCACGCGAAAGAATAACGCGAAGCTGGAAGACCCATCGATGCAAGATCTTTCTGCGGTCTTCAGGAATGTCTACCCATCAATTCTGGAGAGCCTGGAATGCATCCAGCCACAGATGGGTGAGGAAGGTGAAGAAAACTACCCTGCTCTCTCACACCTGACCAAGGTGTTTCAAGCCTTCCTCGGACGGCTCCACGAGCTCGCTTTGAATGAACATGCCAGACAAAAGCAACACGTCAAATCGAAGAGACGGAAACCTGCCCCTACGCATGAGACTTGCAGCCGTGGATATTTGCCAATGAGCGAACAAACCGTCGCCGAGACCAAAGAGATGGTTCGGACGCTGGCGTGTATGATAACAGCGCTTGACGTTTCCAGCGATGTTCACTGTGAACTCTTGGAAGGATACATGTGTACAATCTTAGACCATGTTGGTTCAATATTGTCACTTCTGGTATTTGCAGACTTGACGGGGACAAGGAACAAACAGACCGGTCTGCTTGCACCACGCGGTTTGATGGACGTTGCGCATCTTGATACCGCGTCCGCGACAGGTGCAGCTACAATTGAAGGACCATACCTCATCTGGATTTTGCGCAAGGGAATGGAATTCTTGCTGGCAAACACCAAAAATATGTCTGAAAAGTCCCAGCTTATTTTCGCATTGCAGGGGTCCGACTCAAAAGATGTCGCCCATGGCAAAGGTCTTCGGCGACGAATTGAGGAAACACTCCAGAATACGCTTCTTCGAGGAGTGTTTGGAGATGATGACGATACATTCTACGATTCTCTGAGACGTGATGTGGAAGGGGAGGGGGAAGAAGAATGGACGCAAGTGATGGAGGCGATCGGGGAGAAGGAACGGTCTCCCGAGTGGTTTATTGGAGAGGTTTGGGAGCATCTAGGCTGGAATATCTTATCTGGGAGAAGGGATGGTTGAGCCTCTTCCATTTTGGCGATCTGGCTCGAGCAGCAGCACCCCCTTGACGCACTTTTGTCGTATTTCAGTTCTGCTAGGATGTTAGAGTTTTGTGGGCTTTTAGCAGAACTTCCTGCGGCCAGCACAGAGAATTAACGGGCGGTCAACACGATCTCAATATTTGAGATAGAGACCATAGGGTTATAAGTCTAGACCGAGCACTCTGATGGCATTTCCACCCAAGATCTTTTTCTTTGCGGCCTCGTCTTCTGGTAAGCAGTCATCAATGGCCCCTTTATTACTCTCCACGCTCAACCACTTTGCCTCCTTGTCATCCCCGAGTGGCGGGAAGAAAGGGTGATCGGTTCCGAACATGACTCGATCCACGCTGCCTGCCGCCTCGATAGCGGCTTTCAGCCCCGGTTGTCCGTAAATGACAGCGTCAAGGTAGATGTTTGTGTGCAGCACATCCCAAATTGAGCGTTGGGGACCCTGCCGATGGCCGCCGTTGGCGATGAATTCCCGCTCGTGGGCGACACAAGATTCGATCCTCCCCGCCAGGAAGGGCAGGGTGCCGCCAGAATGAGCCAGAAGAAACTGCAATTGTGGATGGCGGTCGAAGACGCCCGAAAGGTACATCCTCGAGACGGCGATGGTCGTTTCCAGGGGAAACCCCAGTGCCAGAGGCAGGACATGGCCGGACTTTGCGACGACGTCGGGCCCGCCAAAGGCCGAGTCTGGCAGGCCGTAGTGCGGGTGCAGGAAGACCAAGGTCGCGGTCGAGGCCAGGGCCGAGTAGACGTCGTCCAGAGCCGGGTCGTCGAGGCCGTTGCCCAAGCCCGTCGTGCCCATAATGACGCCCTTGACGTGGCGGAGCGACTTGAGTCGGTGGATCTCGCTGACAATGTCCTTTGCCGGGGCGGACAAGGGGAGACAGCCAAAGGCGTAGAGTTTCAGTCCGTCGTGCGAGGCTGAAGCAACGCTATTATTCTCAGCGCACGCCGCGTCGAGGTCATTGTTGATTTCCTGGGCCGTTTGCAGGGCGGTGGCCGGGTCGAGGAAGTCGAGCCACGGGTTCGCCAGGCTGACGACGCTGCACGAGATGCCGTGCCGGCGCATAAACGCCCGCTTCTGGTCAAACGACGAGTAGGTGCTGTCGACGGGCCTGCCCCGCGAGGATTTGGGCCGAGACGGATCGTCGTCGGACGCGAGGATGATGAGTCGTGGATCGGCGTCGGGCGTCTCGGTGGGCTGGTGGATGTAGGGGACCGTGGTGCGCGAGGAGAGCAGTTTGATGTATGACGGCGGGTACATGTGGGTGTGTATGTGGACGACGACCGGGTGGGGGGAGTCTGGAGGAGGCATGATGTGTAGAGGTGGTGGTGGTGGTGGTGGTGGTGGTGGGGGTTGTGTTGCGGTGTGATGTCACGGGCGTGTGGTGTATAGCTAGATTCCCTGCCCTCCCAGTTCCTACATCTTTTCGTTCTCGTGGTGTGGG